TCTCTCCCTCTCCCCCCCTCCCCTAGGTCTCTCTATCCCCTGCCTCCCTCTCCGTCTCTCCTCTCCCCTTCCTCCCCTCCCTCCTAGGTATTCTGCTCTACCCTCCCTCCCTCTCTCCTCTCTCTCCTCTCCCCCTCTCTCCCCTCCTCCTTGGTTCTCTCTCCCTCCCCCTCTCCCACTCCCCAGCTATCCCCTCCACTCCCCTCTCCTTCCTTCGTACTCTTTCACCTGCACCCCAGCCCCCTCCTGTCCTCTCCCTACCTCCTATATAGCCTTCCCTCCCACCCCTACTAGGCCTTCCCTCCTCTCTTGTCTTTCTCCCCCTCTCCCCACCCTTCTGTCTACACTCACTCCATTTCCACACCTCTCCCTTTCCCTCACCCTCCTCACTACCCCTTCCTTCTCCTCTCCGCCCTATCTCCCCCTCCCTTTTTCCCTTCCTCCCCCTTTCCCGAACCCTCCGCTGCTCCTACCTCCACTCTCCCTTCTCCCTTCCTTCCCCACCTCCTCTTCCCTCCAATTCTTCCCTTCCTCTCATCTGCCCTCTTCCTTTCCCCCCAACATCCCACCTCTTCATATACCCCTCCACCCCCGCCATATCAAGACGATGCATGGGCGGTACGAAATCCCCCCGACGCCACGCCCCTACGCCACGCCCCTCTGGCCACGAATACATACTCCCTCTAGTCGGGTGTCTCCGTATAGTCTGCACTGAGGAAGCGGCGACGAAGGAAGTCTGTCTGTCCTCTTGGGAGACTGTCGCTCACTTTTTCCCACGGTTTATGTCGACGATGGACGTTATGCAAATTTATAAAGAATGGACGCTAAACGATGATAACGGACGATAAAGTATGTTAAAGAATAGACGATAAAGGATAATAAAGAAAGGGCGATAATTGATGATAAAGAATGGTCGTTTATGATGGTTTTTGGCTTGTTTCGTTTCAATGGCTTCATTTCATTGTTAACGAGGTGGTTCCTTGTTTTTAGAGGGGAATGATTAAATGTGTTTGATGGACTGTCTGTGAGATTAATTAGTGGATTTGGGTTAGGCCTAATGAGTTCTAATTAATGGTAGGAGTAATAGGAGCTTATTTTCTTTTCATTCTTTAAAGTGGAAGTCCATTTCTTTTTATGAGCCGTGGGATTTTCGTCTCTATTTTAGTCTAAAGAGAAGGATGATTTATACACAGCGCGCGTACACACACACAAACACACACACACAACACACAACACGCACACACACACACAACACACACAGAGAGAAGAGAGAGAGAGAGAGAGAGAGAGAGAGAGAGAGAGAGAGAGAGAGGAGAGGAGAGGAGAGGAAGAGGGAGAGGAGAAAGAGAGAGAGAAGAGAAAGAGAAAGGGAGAGATAAAGAGATAGATAGATAGATAGATAGATATATATATAGAGAGAGAGAGTGGAGAGGAAGCTATAAATTATTATTCACAGAGTGTCTTTGCGTCCAGCGTTCAAAGATAAAATGAAAATCGGCCGCCGTAAAAAAAAAAAATAACGTTTCGAGCCTCTGAACTCCTCTTCAGGCAACAAAACCGAGAAGGCTGTCTTTCCCCTTGAAGGAATTACTGTCCATCAATGTGGCTCTTTAGTTTAATTAGGGGACTTAATGCAGGTAAGAAACAGTCCGATAAACGTAGAAATAGAATAGAAACGCAGATAAAAGTGACGGTAATCCGACACAGAAGCGAAGGGAAGGAGAGGGAGAGAAAGATGAAAGAGGGAAGAAAGAGGAAAACGCGAAGATGTTCCCAGGCGCCACCTCCTCCCCCACCCCTTCCTACCCCTCTCCCTCCCTCCCCAACCCTTCCCACCCCTCTCCTCTCCTCCCCACACCCTCCCACCCCTTCCTACCCTCCCGAACCGCTTCCCACCCCTCCCTCCCAGCCCTTTTCCCCCGCGGGCGTCGGCTGCGGGTCACATACTGGTAACGGGACTGCGGCGTGAGTGCCTGAGGCCGCCGCTCCGCCGTCCTCGCTCCTCCTCCTCCGTGTCCTGCAGGAGTCCCTCGCTCTCGTATCTGCAGGAATCCCTCGCTCCTCCGTCCCTGGAGTCCCTCGCTCCTCCGTATCCCTTGGAGTCCCTCGCTCCTCCGTATCCCTTGGAGTCCCTCGCTCCTCCGTATCCCTTGGAGTCCCTCGCGTATCCTTGGAGTCCCTCGCTCCTCCGTATCCCTTGGAGTCCTCGCTCCTCCGTATCCTCCATCCTGGCAGGAGTCCCTCGCTCCTCCGTATCCTTTGGAGTCCCTCGCTCCTCCGTATCCTGCAGGAGTCCCTCGCTCCTCCGTATCCTTTGGAGTCCCTCGCTCCTCCGTATCCTTTGGAGTCCCTCGCTCCTCCGTATCCCGCAGGAGTCCCTCGCTCCTCCGTATCCCTTGAGTCCCTCGCTCCCCGTATCCTGTCCTCGCTCCTCGTATCCTCCGCAGGAGTCCCTCGCTCCTCCGTATCCTTTGGAGTCCCTCGCTCCTCCGTATCCTTTGGAGTCCCTCGCTCCTCCGTATCCTTTGGAGTCCCTCGCTCCTCCGTATCCCTTGGAGTCCCTCGCTCCTCCGTATCCTTGGAGTCCTCCGCTCCTCCGTATCCCTTGGAGTCCCTCGCTCCTCCGTATCCCTTGGAGTCCCTCGCTCCTCCGTATCCTGCAGGAGTCCCTCGCTCCTCCGTATCCTGCAGGAGTCCCTCGCTCCTCCGTATCCTTTGGAGTCCCTCGCTCCTCCGTATCCTTTGGAGTCCCTCGCTCCTTACCTTTGGAGTATCCTTTGGAGCCCTCGCTCCTCCGTATCCCTTGGAGTCCCTCGCTCTCCGTATCCCTTGGAGTCCCTCGCTCCTCCGTATCCCTTGGAGTCCCTCGCTCCTCCGTATCCCTTGGAGTCCCTCGCTCCTCCGTATCCCTTGGAGTCCCTCGCTCCTCCGTCCCTTGGAGTCCCTCGCTCCTCCGTATCCCTTGGAGTCCCTCGCTTCTCTCGGTTTCCCGCAGGAGTCCCTCGCTCCTCCGTATCCGAGTCCCTCGCTCCTCCGTAGTCCTCGCTTCCTCCGTTCCCTCGCTCCTCCGTATCCTGCGGTCCCTCGGAGTCCCTCCTCCTCCGTATATCCTCGCTCCTGGAATCCTCCCTCCTCCTCCGTATCCTTGGAGTCCCTCGCTCCTCCGTATCCTTGGAGTATCCTTTAGGAGTCCCTCGCTCCTCGTTCCTTTGGAGTCCCTCGCTCCTCCGTCTCCCTTGGGAGTCCCTCGCTCCTCCGTATCCCTTGGAGTCCCTCGCTCCTCGTATCCTTTGGAGTCCCTCGCCTCGTCCTCCGTATCCTTTTGGAGTCCCTCGCTCCTCCGTATCCTGCAGGAGTCCCTCGCTGGGCAGGAGTCCCTCGCTCCTCCTTTGGAGTATCCTTTGGAGTCCCTCGCTTCCTCCGTATCCTTTGGAGTCCCTCGCTCCTCCGTTCCTGGAGTCCATCCTGCAGAGTTTTCTCGCGGGGGCGGCGTGGTGGGTGGCCTGGCCCGCCGGGCTCGTGATCGGCGCCCGTTTGGTCTGTGGCTGCGGCGGTTTGGGTTCGGCTCGGGGCGCGTGCTTCGTGGGGCGTGTTGTGTGCAGGAGGAGCGTGCACGCGGGTCGCAGATGCGTTCGGCACGATACACACGCACGCACACGCACGCACGCACGTACACACACACCACACACACACACGCACGCACACACAAACAACACCACACACACACACACACACACACACACAACACACACAACACACAACACGCACACACACACACAACACACACACACACACACACAACACACACGCAACAACACACAAACCCTTCCTACATCCTTCGGAGTCGCCGCAGGACCCCCCCCCCCCTGAGGGTCCTTGCGACAGATCCTGCGCCCAGTTCCTCCTTCGCTGCTCTCTCTCTCTCTTTCTTTTTTTTCGTTTTTCTTTCTTTCTTTTCTGTTCTATTTTATTTTCTATTTTTTTCTTTTTATTTCTGTCTTATTTTCATTACTGTTTTTTATTTTTAGTTTACGGTTTATTTTTTGGATTTTTTTCTTTTTTTTTGTTTGAGTATTTTCGTTGTTTCTTTTTACTTCTTTTTGCTTTAAGCTTATTTTGTTTTTTGTTCTCTTTGTTTTATTTTGAGTAACTTTCGTTGTTCTTTTTCTTCTTCTTTTTGCTTTGTTTTTTTATTTTTTTTTGTATTCACAATATTTTTCTTTCCTCCGCAGCTCCCTCTCTCGTACACCCTTCCTCTCTCCCTCCTTCCCTCCATCCATCCCTTCCACATTCCGTCCTCCCTCCTCCCTTTCCTCCTTCCCCTCTTTCCCTCCCTCCCTCCTTCCTCTTTCCTCCTCTTCCTTCCTCTTTCCTCGCTTCGTCCCTCCCATCCCTCCCTCCCTATCCCCTCCCTCACCCACATTCTCCCTCCCTATCTCCCTCCTCTAACTCTTTCCTCCTCTATCCTTCCCTCCCTCCTCCACATTCCCTCCTCCCTCCCCCTCCCCCCGCCGCCCACGCCTTCCCCTGACCAAGGCGCGACCCCCCCCCTCCCCCCTACCTTGCCGTCGGGAAATTCTTAAGGATTACCCAAGGCGCCCGGGGGGAAGGGAGGGGGGGAAGGGGAGGGGGGGGCTTCTTCCGTCCGCGCAACTACCTTGGGTCGTGTCCTTGTGGCCAAGATGGGTTTGTGTATGTATGCATATATATATACTTATATATTTTCCTCTCTCTCTACTATCTATCTGTGCTATCTATCTATCTATCTATCTATCTATCTATCTATTATCTACTATCTATCATCTATCTATATATCTATCTATATATGTATATATTATATATAATGTATAATATAATATATATATATATATATATATGTGTGGTGTGTGTGTGTGGTGTGTGTGTGTGTGTGTGTGTGTGTGTGTGTTGTGTGTGATGTGTGTGTGTGCGTGTATGTGCGTGAGTTTTGTGTGTATGTGTGGTGATGTATGTAAGTATGTGTGTGTGTGTATATATATATATATATATAGTATATATATATATATATATATATACATATATATACATATATATATATACATAAACATACATAGAGAGAGAGAATATATATATATATATAATATATATATATATATATATATATATATATATATATATATATATATATATATATATATATATATATTGTAGATAATACATAGATTCATAGATACAAAAAAAAAAAAAAAAAAATTACAAGTGTAATGTATAAACATAGATAGAAACCATAAATATTTCCTTCTGTGTGGGTGTCGTCCTCCCCCTTCTCCCCTCCCCCCCCCTCCACACCCGCGCATGACTTGCTCCGCGTTCGAGCGACTGACGGCGGCTTCCGTTTTGTCACCCGTTGCGAACCCGCTATCCACTAGCACGTTTTTCCTGGGTTATTCCCCTATATTTTCCCCACGCAGGTCCACGTGTCCCCTTGCTGCCCCCTTTATGGCAGTTTTCCGTCTTATTCCCTTAATTCTCCTCCCCCATATACAGGTCCATGATTCCCCTATGCTGTCTTCCTTTCCCATATGGCAACGTTTTCCCTGTTTAATCATTTCTTCCTATAATCCTTATATTTCCCCCCAACCAACAGTCCCTTATTCCCTATGCTGTTTTCTTTTCCCATTTCCTTGGCTTATTCCCTTCATTTCTCGCCCTATGGCCTAATTTTTCTCCCACAGCTCCATAATTCCCTTTGTCGCTATACTCCCATGTCTTTCCCTACATTTCTGTTTTTTCCGCCATTTTTTCATATTTCCCTAACATTTCCAAATTTTCCCCTACACATGGACCGTTTTCTTTTCACCTTTTCTCCCCAACCCACATTTTCCCTCACATTTTTCCCTTACGTCTTATCCACACGCATCCACTTCCTTCCCTACACACTCCCACATTTTCCTCCACGGCTTCATATATTCCCTATTTCTTCCCCACATCCACTTTGCCACCTTCCGCACCCCACATTTTTCCCCACTATCTTCCCCCACATCTCTGCATTTTCCCCACACCTCAAATAAACACTGTTGGAGTGCTTCATCTCGCATGGTTGCATTACGGTTCTCTAGTCACCCCCCCCCCCTCTCTCTCTCTCTTTTTCTCTTTCCTTCTCTGTCTGTCTCCCTCTCCACGTTCTCTCGTCTCTCTCCTCTCTCTCTCTGTCTCTCTCTCTCTCTCTCTCTCTTCTCTCTCTTCTCTCTCTCTCTCTCTCTCTCTCTCATCTTCTTTCTTCTGTCTCCCATCCCCCTCTCTCTTATTTTTTTCCCTCTCTTCTCTCCCTCCTTTCCTTTATCTTTCTCCGTCCTACTCTATCCCTCTTTTACTCTCACTCTCTCTCTCCCTCCCTTTTTCCTCTCCTTCCCTCTCCTCTCTCCCTCCTTTTCTTCTACCTCTTCTCTCTCTCTCTCTCTCTCTCCTCTCTTCTCTCTGCTCTCTCTGCTCTCCTCTCTCTCTCTCCTCTCTCTCTCTCTTCTCCTTCTTCCTCCTCCTCCCCCTCCTCCCAATCCCTTCCCCCCACCTCTCCCCCCTCCCTCCCCCCTCCCCCTCCCTCCCCCCCTTTCCCCCCACCTCTTCCGCCCATCTCTCTCTCTCTCTCCTCTTCTCCCTCTCAATTACGATCGCATCCTGTGGCTCCAGTTCGCCTCGCCCCTCCCTCCGCCTGCCTCTTTCCGGGCATGTGGTTGTGTGCATGATTCGTCTGCATGAGAACGGATTGCTTGAAATGAGGGGAAGGTGCCGTTGCAGGGAGGGAGAGGGAGAGAAGTATTATATATATATGTATATATATATATATATATATATATATATATATATATATAATATATATGTATGTATAGATAGGAGAGAGGGAGAGGGAGAGGGAGAGAGAGAGAGAGGGAGAGAGAGAGAGGGAGAGGGAGAAGGAGAGAGAGAGGGAGAGAGAGAGAAGAGAGAGAGAGAGAGAGAAGAGAGAAGAGGGGGGAGGGAGGGAGGGAGAGAGGGGAGAAGGAGGGAGAGAGAGAGAGAGAGAGAGAGAGAGAGAGAGAGAGAGGAGAGGAGAGAGAGAGAGAGAGAGAGAGAGAGAGGAGGGAGGAGAGAGGGAAAGGGAGGGGGAGGGAGAGAGAGAGAGGGGAGAATGAGAGAGAGAGGGAGAGAGATAGAATGATAGAATGAGAGAAAGAGGGGAAAGAGAAAAATAGAGAGAGAGAGATTCAGTCAGATAGATAGGAGAGAGAGAGAGAGAGAGAGAGAGAGAGAGAGAGAGAGAGAGAGAGAGAGAGAAGGAGAGAGAGATGAGAGAGAGAGAGAGAGAAGAGAAGGAAGGGAGTGAGGCTGGTCCGAAAGAGAGATAAGGGATGGAAAAGAAAGAAGGAATAGAAGATAAAAAAAAGAAAAAAAAAGAAGGAAAAGGCAAACAAAAGGCAAAAGAACGAAAAAATAAAACAAGAAGGAGAAAAAGAGAGAAGAAGGGGAATATGAAAAGGAAGGTTAAAAGAAGAGAGAAAGAAAAAAAAGAAAAGGAAAAGAGAAAGGCAATGATAAAAGACGCAAATGGACATAAAAATATATTTTTAAATTCTTATTGTCGGTTGTTTATTGTTTATAGTTTACATGGAAGGCGATGATGACATAATAGAGAAGAGGATAATAAACATGAGAGAGGAGAGGGAGAAAAAAATAAATAGAGAAGAGAGACCAAGGAAAGAAAAAATATTACAAGAAAACAATAAATGAAACGAAGAAAAAAAATCGCAAGAAAAAAAGTAATTAGTTAATTGAATTGAAACTGAAGCGAACGTCGAAGCGTCCCAGCGCGCCGTCGAGCGGTCGCTGCGGTCGATCTCGTCCGCGGCGAGAACGAGGCCGAACCCGCGGTCGACTCGGCAACCCTCGCTTAATTCGGGACAACTTTCTCTCTCTTAAATTCGGACAATCTTAATTGGGACAGACTCTTTTATTTCGGACAACTTTCTCTTAATTCGGACTACTTCTTCTCTTAATTCGGACAACTTCTTCTTAATTCGGGACAACTTCTGTTAATTCGGACAACTCTTAATTAATTCGGACAACTTAATTCGGACAACTTCTTCTCTTAATTCGGACAACTTCGTCTGATTACAACTTCGGACTACAACTCTTAATTCGGGACAACTTATTTTCCTTAATTCGGGACTTCTGTCTCTTAATTCGGCACCAACTTCTCTTAATGTCGGATCAGGTTTCTCTTAGATTCGGACAACTTCTCTTAATTCGCGACAACTTCGGACTTCTTCTTAATTCGGACAACTTCTCTTGAATTCGGACAACTCTTAAATTCGAGACCAACTGCAGGTCCCCGTGAAAGCACTACTCTCTGGATAACCGCTTAATTGTTAGTTTTTTTCATCTTTTTTTTTTCATTTCAAGATGCATGCGGAGCCTGTTGTTGGTTTTGTTCATGTGAGCACATGTGAAGTATTTACACCGAGCACGCAACACGCACCCGCACACGCACACGCAACGCACACGCACACCGCACACGCACACGCAACGCACACGCACACGCACACGCACACACCACACGCACACACCACACACCACACACACACACACCACACACAACACACAACACACAAAACAAACAAACAGACCAAGTATCCAAAAAATAACAAACAAATAAACGACAACAGACAAAAAGAGCGACGAAACAGCCGCTGAATATTAATGCGAATTTGCACAACTTTTCCCGCCATTTTTCGAATCCGTTCCCCAGGTCCGCGAACAATGGCGGCGAGGCGTGCGTGTTAACCTGATCCATTTTGCAATTTTCACTCTATTTTAATTCTCTCTCCTCCTCTATGTACTCATTTTCGTCACCGTAGCCTACATATCGAACTCACACTTTTCCTGTTTGTAGAGAGAGACAAAGAGAGAGAGAGAAAATGGGACTAATTAAGGCTTTTAATGAAGGTGTTGTGTGGTTGTGGGTTTTGTCGAGGTAATTATGGGCTGCGGCGAAGGTGGGCGGGTTTTGGGGTGGAGGAAGGGAGGCGGTGGATAGGAAGGGATGTAGGGAGAGAAGGGGGGGGGGAGGAGAAAAGGAGGAGGAGGAGAAAAGGAGGAGGAAGAGGGGGAGGAAAAAGATATAGTGGAGGAGGAGGAGGAGGAAAAGATATAGAGGAAGGGAGGAGAAAAGAGGAGGAAAAGATATAGGGAGGGAGGAGGAGAAAAGAGATGGAAGGAGGAGGAGAGAAGATGGAGGAGGAGAGAAAAGATGGAGGAGGAGAAAGAGAGGAGGAGGAGAAAGAGATTGAGGAGAAGGAGGAGTAAAGGAAAGCAAAAGAAGAAAAAGAAAGGAAGACGAAAAAGAAAAATAAGAGGAAGCACAAGAGAAGAAAAAAAAAGAATCAAGAAAAATAAAAAATAAAAAGAGGAAGAAGAAACAATAAGAAAAAAAAGGAAAGACAACTTAAAAATACCAGCCTCAAAAACAAGACCGCCCGGAAATGTCCTCCGCCACCCGCCCCCCCCCCACCCACCCACCCACCCACGGAAGGGGTCGCGCGTTCCCCCCCCTTTTGAAATTGCCGCGTCCCCTGCAATGGCTGCAACGCGGGATCACGTTGATAGGGAGTTGGGGAGGGGGAGGAGGAGGGGAAGGGGGAGGGGGGAGGGAGGGGGAAAGGGGGAAGGGGGAGAGGGGGAGAGGGGGAGAGAGAGAAAGAGAGAGAGAGAAGAGAGAGAGAGAGAGAGAGAGAGAGAGAGAGAGAGAGAGAGGAGAAGAGCAGAGGATGAGAGAGGAGAGAGAGAGAGAGAAAGTTTTAGCAGGGAATATGGGGATGGGAGGTTAGGAGTAACAGTGAGGGAGAAGGGAGATACGAATGGTGAGGGAGATAATGAGGGAGGAGCGAGGAACCATGAAGGAATGAGGGATCATCGAGAAGTGGCAAAGAACTTATGACAAAAAAGGTCCACATTAAGTTATGGTGACAAGTTATGACACGAGTTAGTT